ATCAGGGGTCCTCAAACTTTTTAAACAGGGGGCCAGTTCACTGTCCCTCAGACCGTTGGAGGGCCGGACTATAGTTTAAAAAAAAACTATGAACAAATTCCTATGCACACTGCACATATCTTATTTTGAAGTAAAAAAACAAAACGGGAACAAATACAATATTTGTATTTGCATGTGGCCCGCGGGCCGTAGTTTGAGGACCCCTGGCCTAAATGAATAAAGTTTATTAGAAACATTTTGCTTCTTTATTATTAGCTTATTTTACAAGGATGGACTAAGCAATAATGAAAAATCTGAATTTCTTTTGAGAAATGAATACCTTCGTTTAGTGCAACACATTTATTTTCAACCATAATGTGCTTCTTATTTCTGATTTCTGTATTTTAATAATCTTAGGCAATGACGAGAGTGAGACTGGACTTCTTGGATCAACTAGCAAAATTTTGGGAACTTCAAGGATCTACTTTGAAGATCCCTGTGGTAGAGAGAAAAATCCTGGATCTGTATGCTTTGAGCAAGGTGAGGCTTTTACTGGGATTAGAAATTGGGAAATTTCTAAATTTATTAAATTATTTATTAAATTTGGAATTTTAAATACACTTGATAGGAAAGGAAACATCACTGCCTATGTAGGATTTGTTTAACAGTGAAGTGCAAACATGGATAGAAATGAGAGATCTCAAAGTTATCTTTAAAATCTATTTCATAGTTTCTTATGAGATTCATACTTAATGACATTCAGATTAGTAGGCTCTCTTGTACACAATAATGGAAAAGAAGTGACACCAACCTACTAATAATTATCTTGTGTTGAGTGTATAATGTATTGTGTTGAGCTTGTCATTTTTTCTACTTCTTAATGTAAATTTGGTATATTAAAGAGATTGATATTATTCAACATTCTTATGTGTGGTGCATATCGGTTGTATTAATACCTCTAAATAGTGATAATAGTTCACTGAGGCCAGCATTATCCAGTGGAATGAATAATAGCTCACAAACGTAAGGTTAAAGTGCTTAGACTAATTTTTGCTTAAACTTAGGATAACTTTGTTTAACCTGGTAAACTTAGATTAACTTCACATTCTCTAATGTAAAGAAAACTAACTGACCTGCAACAGGATTTATAGTAATTATCTTGAAGACATATTTTGTAATACAATAATAAAAATTTATGATTGCTCTAATTTGTGAGTGAAGACAGCTTGATTATCTGAGGAATTTTGCAAATCAACTTATTTATTTTTTAAACAATTTTTAAAAATCTTTACCTGAGGATATGCTTATTGATTTTAGAGAGAGGGAAAGGAGGAGAGAGAGACAGAGACATTGATATTCATTTGAGAGAGAAACAGTGATTGTTCGGTTGCTTTCCTGTGTACGCCCAGATCAAACCTGCCATGTAGGTATTTGCTCTTACTGGGGAATTGTGTCCTCAGTCTTTTGGTGTACAGGACAATGCTCCAACCAATTGAGCCACACTGATTAGGGTTCAACTTATTTCTGTGGCCTTTTATATCCTAGTGCCCCACTGCACAGATTTGTGCACATTGGAAGGAAATTAATAAGAAGGTGACCAGTGGGGCAGGACTAGGCGAGATGGGCTGGATGCCCTGGAGCCAACCTCCCGTGGTTCCTCCCTGGCCGGCTGCACCTGGGGTAGCACCGTGGCTCAAAGGGCGTCTGCGGAGTGAGCAGGGTCCCTCTAGCAGGTGGGGTCTCTCGGCCTGGCCTGCAGCGATCGGGCCAAAACTGGCTCTCTGACATTCCCTGAGGGGTCCCAGATTGCAAGAGGGCAGTTCTTGGGTGACACACCCTGGAATCTGGCTCCCTCCTCTCTGGTTCCGGGGTGCATCACCCGAGAACCGCCGCTGCCTGGTCACCGCAGATCGCAGCTCTTGTGTCGAGCGTCTGCCCCCTGGTGGTCAGTGCACATCATAGCTACTGATCGGAGCATCTGCCCTTTAGTGGTCTTTGCACGTCATAGTTACCAGTTGGACGGTCGCTTAGCCCTTTATATATATAGATGATTGATGTACTATTTTGAAATAAAATTTTTTTTCTCATTTGAGTTACCGAGTTAATTTTGGAAGATTTCACTTTCAAGAAAAAAGTGAAAATAATGATATTTAAATTATTATTTTCAAACTATGTTTTTATTGATTTTAGAAAGGAAGGGCGAAGGGGAGAGAGAGATAGAAACATCAGTGATGAGAGAGAATCATTGATCAGCTGCCTTCTACATGCCCCCTACTGGGGATCGAGCCTGCAACCCAGGCATGTGCCCTTGACTGGAATCAAACCCAGGATCCTTCAGTCTGCAGGCTGACGCTCTGTCCACTGAGCCAAACCTGCTAGGGCTAACTTATTTTTTACGATACATTTGAAAATTAATATCAGGTCAAAATTCTCTAAAAATTTTGTTTTATGCCAAAAATTCTGGGAAGTATAATCTTATGCTAAAATGTAGTTCTAGGTTTGTTTTATCAGTCATGTAATGATGTCAACAACTAAGCACTGTGCTGAGAATTATCTAGTTCAGGTGTATGAAAACCTATGATACCAGTGGGTAAATATAGTGAATTTGAGGGATGGGTTTGTATCTTGTAGGGAACCATTCAGATAAAAATAATTTGTTTCAAGAACTTTCTTTTTTAACAGTTAAAAGGTAAATATTAAGTTTAAGTTAGATGGTAAATTAGGTTGTATTCTTGGTTTTATACAGTAAAAGGATTTCAAAATTAGGAAGGGGCTTTGGAGCTAAACTAATCTGAATACCTAGTTGTTCACAATTCTGTGTAACATTTTTTTTTTTTTTTTTAAAAATTTTTTTCATTTTTTTTTAAAAGAGAGGAAGGGAAAGAAAAAAAGAGGGATGGGTTTGTATCTTGTGGGGAACCATTCAGATAAAAATAATTTGTTTCAAGAACTTTCTTTTTTAACAGTTAAAAGGTAAATATTAAGTTTAAGTTAGATGGTAAATTAGGTTGCATTCTTGGTTTTATACAGTTAAAGGATTTCAAAATTAGGAAGGGGCTTTGAATACCTAGTTGTTCACAATTCTATGTAACATTTATCATCTGGATTGTTTAACTGTGTTTTGAAAAAATCCAATTCCTTTTTGTTCAAAGGGAGAATATAGCTAATAAAGTATATCTTGTTTAAGTACTTACAGAATGTATTGAAAATATGTTGATTAAAGGTTAAGTTTGATTGTCCTAGGGTTTATTGGAGTCTTGTCTTTACGTCCCCATGGACATCTCTGTGTAACATTTATCATCTGGATTGTTTAACCGTGTTTTGAAAAAATCCAATTCCTTTTTGTTCAAAGGGAGAATATAGCTAATAAAGTATATCTTGTTTAAGTACTTACAGAATGTATTGAAAATATGTTGATTAAAGGTTAAGTTTGATTGTCCTAGGGTTTATTGGAGTCTTGTCTTTACGTCCCCATGGACATCTCTTTCCCCTAATCTTTGAGAATGCTTATAAAACTGACTTAAAGATAAAAGGCAGACAGCTTTTGATTTATAGATATTTTGTTTATAATACTTTTGTTCCCTAAATGTCATAGATTGCTGCCTCTCACATGAATATTTTTTCTTTACATTGAGGTGTAACTTGGAGCACAGTGCACAAATCTTAAATGTCACTGGGTTCAGTCTTTATCTACACTCATGGAACCATCATGCACATCAAGATATAGAACATGTACAGACAGCATTCTAGTGGGCTCCTTTATCTCCTTCCCATTCAGAACTCTCCCCCAAAGTAACCACTATTCTGATCTCTATTATTGGGTGGTTATTTCATTAGCATGACATTTTAGTTTGTAGCAAGAGGCTCAGGCTGAAAACTACAAAAAACATTGAGAGTTCTGATATATATATTTTTTCCTTTTTTAAATCCTCATCCGAGGATATGCTTACTGATTTTAGAAAGAGGGATGGAGGGAAAGAGAGAGGGAGAAACATTGATGTGAGAGAGAAACATTGATCTATTCCCTTCCCATATGTACCCCAACTGGGGGATCAAACCCACATCCTAGGTATGTGCTCTGACTGGGAATCGAACCCACAACCTTCCCATGTACAGCAACTGAGCCACACTGGCCAGGCCTGGAGTTCTGATATTTTTAGGATGTTAGGTATGCTCTTTAAAAAATATTTTATTTTTTGGCTGACAGTTGATGAACACCGTTTGAGCTTGTGTTATACACATGATTTTGAAACACTTTGATTTTGACAACTTTTTAATGGGAAGCAAATTTTCAGTCTTCTGAATTATTAAATTGTCAGTGTGATGGTTCCCTGTTTTGGTTAAATCACTTTGTCTTTCTCCCTTATTTTTGACTAGAGGCCTGGTGCACAAAATTTGTGCAGGGGGGGAGTTCTCCTCAGCCCAGCCTGCACCCTCTCCAATCCAGGACCCCTCGGGGGATGTCCGACTGCCGGTTTAGGCCCGATCCTGGGGGCAGTCAGACATCCCTCTCACAACCCTGGACTGCTGGCTCCTAACCGCTCACCTGCCTGCCTGCCTGGTTGCCCCTAACTGCCCCCCCCCTC